TAGCTGAGCAAGCCAGCAAGCAGCATTCCTCCAGGATCTCTGCTTTGGTTTCTGTCTTAAGCTCCTGCCCTGAGTTCCTTCCCTCAGTGACTGTAACCTGTAAGATGAATTAAACCCCTTTTTCTCTAAGTTGCTTTTGGTCATGATGTTTATCACAGTAACAGAAAGCTTGTCTGCCCTGCAAGGAGGCCATTATGCTAAGGACCTGTTACATGACTTCTGGGGGAGATAGAAATAATGTCTATTTACTTCAGATAAGGCCTTGATGACAGACCAAAGAATGACCCCATCTGACTTTAGCCTGGAGGATGAGTGAGTTACCACCAGGAGCAGAGGTGACTCAAGGGCAGCTGCATTATTGGGGAGCCCACTCTAGCATGAGTGACACTTAGCAAAGCTGTGTCTCTAGCGCTCTCTGCAGGCTGCTTGGCAGATTCTTAATACTTATGACTATTTAGTTTTCTGACTTTTCTGAGCCTTGTAAGTTGTGTATCTGCTCACCCCAGGATAGGAGCTTTTAAGTTGGAGGAAATGCTACCCACTTAACAGCTCATGCTTGGAGGACACTGGATTTCTAGAAGCTTCTAGTTGAGAGCAGAGTGATTGATACTTCTGGCAGGATATCAGCCTCAGGCTTTCACCAACTCATGCAGTATTGCCTTGGGTATTCCAATGGCACCTGGTCACTTTTCTGTTGCTCCTCCTCCATCGATTTCACCGCTGCCATGGGTGAGAACAGTGATAATAATGAGGTCTTGGGGTAGACTCTGGAGGGCAAAACGAACCTGCATGCAGATGGTCAGGACTGCGTGGGTTCTGTGACCTAATAGCTATGTTTTTATCCACTGCAGGTATAAGAAGAGGCCCTTCTGGACCCCCCATTCATGTAATTCCTGATGCCCCTCCAATTCATGGCCTGTTTGTTACTTCTGTAATTATTGTCTGTCTCTCCATGAGACCGGGCACGGGCTTATCTCCTTTGGCCAGTCAGAGATGCAGGAGTGCAGCCAGAGATGGCAGTGACAGCTCAGATATGGGATGAAATGGAGTGACCTGCATACTGAGCAGGTCCCCTGGATGGACCGTGTGGCTGGGTATGGTGGTGTCAAGAATGCCAACTGCTGAGCTGGTTTGTGACTGGCTTGTGTGGCAGAGGAACACAGGAGTAGGTAAGGGATAATCTTATTGTAATTGAAGCCATCACATGAAAGTGGGGGCCTTGAGAGGGGCTGGGCAGGGCAAGCCATCACTAGTTTCCACAGTCCACATGAGCCTGCGTTCACAGAGAGCCACTTCCCATGCGAGAAGAGCAGCGTGAATGGAAAGGCCTGAGCTGAGGAAGCAGTGTGGCTCATTCTCTAAAATGACTGCCTGGTTTCTTGTTCCTTCATGCCACCTGACCTGTTTTTCCCCATCCAGGAAGGATTTGTGCAGAAAGTCCCTAGGGTCTTTAAGAAACACACAATATAACTTCTAGGACATTTTCACTCAGCAGCTCCCCAGCCATGCACAATCCTGAGCTGTGTCCAGAGTCTTCTGGAAAGCCCCTGCCCTCTGGGAGTTGGGGAGTAGAAACAGCCAGAGCTCTCAGGATTCCTATTAAAAATGAATGCATACCCTAATTTATATCCAGTCTGCTGTCTCTTCATACAACATGCATGCCAGTCTTAGATTAAATGCTGTTAATCAAATTTAATGCTCTGTTATGTCACTTAAGGCACACCACAGCACCTTAAAGTATCCTCTATCATTAGCACTACCATGAGATCTAGGTCTGACATTAAAATGGACCGAGAAACTCGAGACGATCAGGCTCAGGCCTCCTGTTCTCAAAGAAAATCCCAGGTGAGGATAACAGTGCCGTAGTAATGAGGGCTGAACCTTCTAGATGCTGAGCATGGATGTGGTCATGAGTTCTTTATAATGATGTCCAGCAGGATCCATGACTATCCTGAGTTCCACAGAGCAACTGGTGAGGACAGATGAAGGGATCCTTCTAGACACTTGCCTTGGAGACAGACACACTGGAGCTGCCTCTTCCTAGCTGGCTTTCCAAGGTTGGTCACTTTTTCCGTCAGTAGGCAGGGTCTTAGGGCACTGACTGTCTTGGTCCCCTTGTCCTTCATGTCACCTCTCTGGTCATTTTCTAATTACATTTTCCTTCCCCAACGTCAAGGAACAATGTATACGGCACCATTCCTTCTGAAGAATTGCTTATTTGTTTAGATAGTGTCTTAGAATTGCAGCATCAACAGGGCAGCCCTGACTTGCTCCCTTCCTGTTCCCAGCCTCCTGCCCCAACCAGAAATGGAAATGCACATACAACCATCCTGTTGTGTAAGCCTCGGAGATGACCACTGGAAGGTGGCTGTGCCTCTTGAGATAAGGGTATCAGCAGAACCTCCAGTTGCTCCAAACTCACTAGCTGCCCTGTTTCTGTCACAGATGATAGTGTAGCAAGGGCCATCTGCTTTCTCTGCCTTAGTGCCACCGCCAGCCTAAGCATGCTCTCCAGCATCCCTTTTGGTCCCTGGAAAGTGCACAGCTTCCCAAACAAATAGCTGGGAGCTGATATTCAGAACTCAGAGTCCATCCTGCCATCTGTCCTGAGCAGATCAGTGGATCTCCACTGGTGTTCGCCACCACTGTACCCATCGAGGTCTGGTCTTGGAAACAATGGGGGTAGGTGACAGAGTCCCAAAGCTGAGTCAGGTGACACTCAGCACATGTGCTGTGGATTTACAGAAGCCTGTGGTGCTGAAAGTAGGGGTTCAGGGACTCCTCAAGGAAGGGCAGTGGTGCTGTTTGCTGTGTTGTACCCAGAGTCCCTCAAAGACCACCAAGAGACTGAATCCGATTCAAAAGCAAAGAGTCTTTGTACTATTACTAGTTAACTCGGGACTCTCCGTCCATCCCCAAGTAGCAATGGGGCAGGGTTTTTAAAGCAAGGGGACTTGGGGTCTACAGACTGCATAGGAACAGATTCAGGATTGGTTTATGAGAGTGGCAATCATGTTAGTAACTTTTAATTGGCTAGGGTTAGTTAGTTATCAATTTTGGGCAGGCCTGGATAAGTCCCAGGCTTTGTCCTTGAGCTGCCATGGAGGCTGGCTGGCCTAACATGTAGTGACTGTGGGGGCTATCAGTGGCCCAGGCTTTCATACTGACTCATGCACAAAGCTCTAAGTTGATGAGGGGTCCCAGACAGTAAACAATTGGCTGAACCATGAGCGGTCAGAGTTCGTGCAGAAAGGGAGCTACTGCAAGGACTATGTCTTTTGTTCATGGCCCTCCCAGAAACTGCTTGCTTAAGTCTCAGGAAACTGAAATTGAGGCCTGATCTCTGAGAGAAGACTGACTGCCTGTTATGGTGTCTGCTTGGTCCTTTAAGCCAAACCCTCACCTGGCCGGGCATCATCATGTCAAGAACTTTCTATTTGTTGGATTTCAGAGCTGGTGGGGATTTATACATCTGGTTCACCTGTGCTTGAAGGTATTTCCTTTCTCAGTGACTTACTTTTACTAGGAGGCAGGGAGAGCCCACCTAGGCCCCAAAAAACAGCTGTGAAGTAAATGTAGAGAAGTAGCCTCCCTCCTCAGGGATGGAAGTCCTTGGTAGCTGGCTTCCTAGGACCAATTGGATGCATGAGCCCCATTCTTTGGCTTGTGGTGAGATTGGTGTCACTGACATTTCCGCTTCTTGTAAGGACCCTGAGACTCTGAGGGCAATTCAAAGCACAGCTCATTGAGGTCACGTGTGTGGTTGGGGAGCCTGTGGCTTGCAGCCCTCCCAGTCTCTGTGTGTCTGCAGTCCTCTCCCATACTCTCTTAGAGCTGGGGTTTGGGTAAAGAATAGGGAGAGGGGTCATGGTGGTCGTGGGAGCCACAGAAAGGGCCCCCAGAGATTTGTGGGTTTTTAGGAGGTGTGGAGTAAAATTAGACCGTGTGGCTAGGGACTGCCAGTATGGAAGAGAACATTTACTAGGGCCTGCAGAACTCAGCTTTGCGGCCCCAGGGGATGATTTGTGAGGAGACAACCATCCCCAAATGAAATCCTTGGTGCCCTTCCTTGCCTCCAGAAGGAACAGTCTCTTCAGTTTTTCCAGTTCCACAGATCACTTAACTGCCACCTCCAGCCATGGTGGCTCCTCCGAGCAGTGGGAGATGGGCACCAGGTAGCTGCACAGTAGTGTCTTGGCCTCCATGTCTGACTATTGCTTGGCAATGGAGAGTGACCTCAGCTCTTCTCTCTATGGTCGGATGCTGAGGGTTGGCATGCTTGATTGCCCTATGTAGTGCATGCAATAAGCACCTATGGCTGATCTGCCAAAGGCCAAAGTGAGCACTGCAGGTAAAGAATTCGTGAGACTCCATGGTGGGATGGTGAGAGGGGGTCTGGAACAACATCCCCCAAACAATCGAGTATAGGATATGTACACAGATGCACTTGTTCTTTTATTGGAGAGGCACCTTTTATTGGGTAAAGAATCCTGAGTTTTAATCCAATGTAGACAAATGTTCAGGACTTTTAGGTCTGTCACTGATCTTGGGAAAAGGTGCTTCTTTTTTTTTTTTTTCTCATGAAATGTGGTCTGTGGGGAATCCCTGTTTAAGAGCCATTGGAAAGAAATCTTCAAGATCTGCAGAGGTCGTCACAGTGCTGAAGGAAGATTTGTCTGCAAGAATGATTTCATTAGGCATTACAGAGACCCATCACAGTTGGGTCTGTCGGGATCACTGTAGACAAGAGATGGAGTGTCTGGGGAGTGGCTGCTGGTTTGTAACTCTCACTTCTTGGTGATGCTGTTTTCTGGCTCCCAAATCCCCGTCAGGACCTGCTGCCTGCTGCTGAAGCGGCTAGTTCTCGGTTGGCATCATAGGGTTAATGTAGGTCTGTGCCACAGTGAATGAAGGCCCCATGAGTCACCTCTCAGGCATTTCTCCTCAGTCCTCCCGCTCCTTAGCAGTTTCTGATATTCAATTTCCTCACTTTGTTTCAGAAACAGAGAATGTTGATTCACCACCATGCAGTAGAACACGTCTGCCGCGTCAATGTCTGAATGGCCTGTGACAGTGTGGTTGTCTTGGCAATAGCAGCGGCCACCCACGTAAACATCTGGAAGGCGAAGTGAGACTCACCCAAAGGAGGAGGTTTTGACTGGGATTGTGAGCAGGTCATCAGGAGTGCAGTAGAGGGAGCACACGTAGGCGTGGGTATGTGGTCAGACTCACGGAGCAACTTGATCGTGGGAAAGTTCAGAGCAACCTCAGGCTCAGTGGAATCAGAGACAGTAGTCTAGCCCATCCCCAACCTGACATTAATGTCCCTTAAGACACAAAGCATCCACATCCTTTTCCTGCAGTAGTCTAGAAGGTAGAAAGGAATCCCTTGGTGCCCCTGATTTGCCCTCAACACTCTTTCAACAGTTCAGGTGACAGCTTTTGTGACAATTTTAGTCTTGGCAACAGGACTGGGGCCCCAGAAAGGGTCAGTACTTCTGGGAAATTGCATTTCAGTGCAAGTGTCTGTGACTTGGATCCAGATGGTTGTCTGGTGTTAGGAGAGAGGGGGAAGCAGGACCCTGTCCCTGTGGAGGTCATCATCATTTGGGGAGGCTGTATCTGCCCTGGACGCCCCTCAAGGCCCTGGAAAAACTGCAGTGGTCATTGGTGTGAGGGGACTGGATGTGGCCACTTCACTCCAACTCTGTCTTCTGTGCTAGGCTTTCTTACCTGACTACACTTCTGGGAGTTCTGCAGGAGCATGCGCCTTGTTGGGTGGCTGTGGAAGTGTGTGAACTGCCATCTTCTTCTGGAGCTCTCTGCCAGCTGGAGGGCCTGGGCAGGTATCATTGAGTCTGGGTCTGGTGGGGCTGGCGGATTAAGGGGCTGTTACAGATGGACCAGGACCCAGCCCCAGGCTGACTGCTTTGACACCAGGGCCCATGGCGGTTCAAAGGATGCCGCGCCTGTGCGGCTGTGTATACACTCACAGCCTGGCAGCTCTTTCTTTCTCTCGTGCACCCTGATGAGGTTGTCCACGTTCTCCCTGCTGCCCCTGGCTGCTGTGGTCCTTCTTTTGCTAGTTCACTTTTGTGACTGCTGGGTTTCTCCATGCTGGTTACCAGGACGGAGCTGAAGTTGAGGGGTGTTGAACAGCTGAGGCGTTTGTCAGCACAAGTGGTATGAGAATCCATGACCTCAGTCTTGAGTCTTCCCATCTGTGGCCTGGGCAGGGTCGGGCTTCCAGGTATGTGGTGAAAGGCTGTGAGACAGTCCATGCTCCTGGGGTGGGGGGGTCATCTGACTGGTGATGGGTGTCACTGGCTTGTAATAGGGAAACTGAGGCTAAGTCTCTTAGAATTCTTGCAGCATTTCGATGGAGTGACTCATAACTGTTGAACCTATCAGGAGCTGGACTTTGCATTTTCCATGCTGTTTTCATTTGTCTTTTCTAGAAATAGATTATTTTATAGTACAAAACCAAAACCCAAACAGTTCCCAATGAATTGGAAATTAAAACGCACTTGGAAGTGTCTTCACTATGAGGGATTTGAGAGGCAGTGGGATAACCCAGAGAACATAACAAATGCAATCACACACAGCAATGATCCAGTGTAGATAAACAGCTGGCTGGGGACAGAGGGTGGGCACAGCAAGTTCAGGGAATGGAAGACAGTGAATAAACAGGAAACATAGATGTTCATATACCTGGGGGTTCCCTGGAGTGGACTGATGACTTTCGGGGGCTCCTGATGAAAGGGTGCCTGGGTTGGGGGCCCTTTGATCTGCATCAGCTGACGGGGCAGACATTCTCTGTGTGCTTCAACACAGTCCTCTGCTCCTCTGTGGCCTTTCGTGTGAGTTGGGAAGAGCCCACACAGGCCAGTGTGCCTGACCACATGGATACCATTGTCTGCTCAGCCTGTCTGCCTTTGTTCATCACATCCTGGTAGCTGAGAAGGACTCTGCATTTTCACACATAACCGTACAATGAAGGGACTGTGAGACTCGGAATGAACACTTCCTTTCCCTGAGTCTGTTCTGTCCATATGTGAGTCGGAAGCTGGTGACATGACCTCTAAAGTTCCTTTCTGGCTGGACACTGAGGAGGTCTGCAGGCAACCCTGGTGGTTGCTTTTTGTCCCCTTCATGGTTTTTTGTGCCTTTTCCTGGCTTTGGTTGCCTGGGTCTGTCCACTCTTCCTATTTACACCCATGTCTGAACACACCTACCCCTAATCTCCCCTGCCTCCGGCAAACATGCAAGGTCTCCAGCACGTCCCTTGGCCAGCCTGGCAGTGTCCTAGCATTTCTGTTGCATCTACTGCAGCTATATTGTAAACAAAGGGATCCCTGCCCATGCTGTCTCTCCCAGCTGAAGTTCTCAACTCTGACTCAGTGGTTGAATCAAGGCAAATCACTCCTCAGGTGTGAAGAAAACTAAGCATCCGATACCATGGTGGCCAACTCTGTGCTTCCTCCCAGAGTCCACAGGGGCTGCCAGGTGGGAGGATCATAGATTGGACAGGTGTGTGCCAGGTTTTCAGACGGGACAACTTTCGAAGGTATTCTCTCTGAAGATCTTTAAATGTTCTCAGTAGAGAAATACTCTTTTTCAAACAGAGCTTTATCTGCTAATCCAGTGCATAAAATTTTGTGCAAACAAGTATTTTATTAATGTCCCATCTTATTTTTAAACTGATGGTGTTTTTGTTTGTGATTAAGAAAACCAGGCAACAGAAGCTTCAGGAGAAGCTGGACAAGAGCTTTCCAATCTCTATTTTTTCTCTCAGGGAGTCTCCCAATCTAATTCATAAGGTAGCAATACAATAACATTAAAGGTTTTTTTTTTTTTGAGAAATAAATTCAGTATTGAATTTAAGGAAGACAAACAAAACAAAACAAAGTAACAACAACAACCAACTTTAAAAGGTTTATCCAAAAGAATTTGAAATGTACTTGGGTAGGGGAAATGGAAGAAGTATTTTGTAATTGACTTAAAATTCATACAAAATCAAAGCAACCATTTGGGCCACTGTGGGAAGTATAGTTGGGTGGATGTTAGGGAAAGCATTATTGGCTAATTGTGGAGCATTTTGCCATTCCAAAGGACCCTCCTCACTGTGCATTGTCTCTTGAAAATCTTGATGGAGTTCAAAAGGTATTTGAATGAAACGGAAACCAACTGGTATAACAGAGATAATTCTGGTCTTTGACCTCTGCTGTGAGGGGTAAAGGTAGACAGTGACAGGGAAACAGATGACTTAGGACTTGAATAATGTGGCATTGACCACAAAAAAGGCAAAGCGGGGCATGATAGTAGAAAAGGGGACAGATGCCAAGGCCCTGAGGCAGGTGGTGAACTTAGCTGATTCTACAGAAACAAGACATGTGCTTAAGCTTATCCAGGAAAGAGGGGAGGGCTGGGTGGGCTGCTGGAGCTGAGGTGCCATTTAGAATCAGCTGGTAAGCATCTTTAGACTCAGTTCCACTCATGGTCATGGTTGGGCTCTACAGATAATGCTGCAAGAAGCAAGGACACACATACCTAATAGAGGGGTGGAGCTTGCGAAGTCATGGCATGGATTTATGTGTAGTTGTACCCTTCTGCCATCTGGTCCACAGGAAGTATGTTTCAGAGTCTCAATGGATAACTAAAAATCAGGATGGCACCCCCTCCTGCATACCTACATAAAGTTTAACTCATAAATCAGATGCAGTAAAAATTCATAAAAATCAGTGACAACAAGCTATGATAGAAGTATGTGAACTTGGTCTCTTTCTGTCAAAATATGTAATGTGTGATGGCTATTCTTGGTTGTCAATTTGACTACATCTGGAATTAACTAAAACCCAAGTGGCTGTGTTCACCTGTGGGTTTTTTTCTTAATTAAATCATTTGAAGTGGGGACCCACTTTTAGTCCAGATCTTTTGAGGTGAGAAGATCCACCTTTAACTGGGCCACACCTTTGGCTGGAAGCCTATATAAAGGACATGGAAGAGGGAATGTTCCTCTTTGCCTGCTTGCTTTTGTCCTTGGTAGTAAGTCCATTCTTTCACTGGCATTAGAGCCTACTTCTTTGGAATTCCAGTGTAAACTGAGGACCAGCTAAGACGTCCAGCCTCGTGGACCAAACAACTACCAGGTCCTTGAAACTTCCATGGGTAGACAGCTATTGTTGGATTAGCTGGATCACAGCCTGAAAACCATTCTGATAAATCCCCTTTACATAATACATATATACGTATATATGTATGTATAATAAAATATATAAAATATATATTCTGTTCCTCTAAATATATGTTCTGTTCCTCTAAAGAGCCTTGACTAATATATTATGTTTTCATTCTTCGGCTTTGCTGTCATACCTGGATGGCTAGCATCAGTGATCTCCCACTGTGGGTCATTACTGAATGAAATAAGGGTCATTTGAACACAAGTACTGTGACACCTCAACCATCAATCTGATAGCTAACATTGTTACTAAGTGTCTAACAGGTAAGTAATGTATATGGCATGGATATGTTGAACAGTGGAATGATTACCATCCTGGGTGGGTAGAAGTAAGAAGGTCTGAGATTACATCTTGCTACTCAGAACACTACACAGTTCAAAGTTATAATCAGATTGTTTCTGAAATGTCCTGTGTCATGTTCTTACAGTATGATTGACTGTAAATAAAAACCTAAACTGTAGATAATGGGTGAGTTATTGTAGTGGATCATGAGCGAACCCACTGGGAACCCCAGGGGTTCATTTTCTATGAAAAGGTTTATAGCTTTAAAATGTATCTTTCTGATTATGTTCCATGACCCTATGATTTTGGGTTCATCAAACAGAATTTTCTGGAAAATTAAGTTAAGTTGGTTGAAATCTCATGGTGAGCCATTAGCAGTTAAAAAAAAAATCTTACTGTCTTCTTGCTAATCTCTGTCTCAGTTATATGATTTTGTGAAATTTATTTTATTGAAAATCACTAATAGTGATCTGTATGGCAGGTGACTGATGAGGAAGATGTTGGTTCTAAACCTCGCAGATGTCGCCTCTTCCCTGGTGTCCAGTGGGTGTCTGTTTTCTCTGCTACTGTTTTCCAAGATGTTTGTGTGGCCTACATTGGTACTTCTTGACTAGTTAAAAGATCCTGAATTAGATGGTCCATGGGTGAAGGACGTGCAGTCCTATCTGATTCCTTCAGACCTCATATCCATGATAGGAATTGGATTTTGCTGCGCTGTCCACCAGCGGATCAGGATATATTTGAAAACGAACCTAAATGAGACTCTAGCAGTTTAAATACCACCAGCCCAAAGTAATTTCATGGCATCTCTAAAAAACAAAACAAAACAAAACAAAACATGGCTGTAGAGCTTTTACATGCCTGTGGCTTTCTACCATAACTCTGGGCGCAGTGAAGCCTGGTATAAGAGGCACAAAGGACAAGGACCAGACAGGGCCCCGACTCAGAGTGGCCACAGCTTAAATGCCATATACAGAGAAGAGATTCAGGCCACCCCCAGCCTTTGGGACCTTCTGGGGTAATCTGCTGCTTTAAGCCTCAGTTTCCTTCTCTGGAAAGGGACCAACTACAGGACCTGCATCTAATTGAATTTCAGCTGCCCTTGCCTGATGCTCTGGCTGAGTTGTCTGAGAATCCTTGGTCCTCCTCACCCCTGGGGATCCTCACAGTGGGTGCTTGGTTAGTTCTGTGGACCCAGCAGCCAGACTATTGTCTTTGTGGGCCTCTGATGGGCCAAGCACACTCACTGTGGCCACATGCCTCTCTCTGACAGGCCCGCTGTATCATGGCTCTTGCTCTTGGCTGAGGAGCAGAAATCTCACAGGAGGCTCTAAGAATAGAGTTCTTTCTGAGACTCACATCAATGTCTGAACCAACTTCTTCACATGCGCAAACAAATACTAACCGACATTGACCACTTCTCTTTTGCCAAAGATTGTAGCCTCTCTTTCCAATGTTAATGTTTAGTAGCTTCCCAATCCTTTCTTCTGTAAGATGTGCTCTCTCTTTTCAGAACACTTGTTGAAAACTCATATGTCATAAATGAACTACATTAAACTCCCAAGAACCAGGAAGTCCAATGGTGTCTGAGAAAAATCATAACTCAGTAAGAAAAATCCTCAAAAAATGTTTTTATTAGCTTCTTGAATAATGGAAATTATTCAGGATGTTAGACAGAGCCAAATGTGAAATCTGTTCTTGTTTAATCTTAGTTAACAACAACCAAAAAAATAAATAAATTCAGCTCTCCATTTTAAAAGGTGGCTCGAATATTCATTTTCCTTAGAGATCTTCATTTTTCAGAAAACTAAGTCTAATCTAGCCAGCATGAACTTTATTAGGTGATTATTATTTTTAATATCCATTGGGGGTGGGTGGGTGGGACTGGAGAGATGGCTCAGAAGTTAAGAGCACCTCATGTTCTTGCAGAGGCAGAAGACCTGGGTTTGGTTCCCAGCACCCACAAGGTGGCTTACAACCATCTGTAACTATTGCTCTCTTCAGGCATCTGATGTCCTCTTCTGGACTCTGTGGGTACCACCCGTGATAGACATATGTGCAGGCAAAATCCTCATACACATAAAAAATAAAATTGATTGAAGATACTCTATGTCCTTCAGTGAACAAACATATATAACCCATTCATCTGCAAATTTGTTTTAATTTTTAATATAGTAAAATGCATGCATAGCAAATAATTATTTTAAATTAAATTCTTTATGATTTATTATCCGTAAATAAATAAATAAATAAATCTCTAAAGAATTCATGGATGGCTCTAATTCTTCTTCTTTGGGAATCCTAGCTTTTGAAGCAGGCTTCTCACCTTTTAGTCTTGGTATTTATCACCACCTACTTATGTCCACCCATTGTGTTTCTGTCCCTAAGGTAGGTAAGGGACTGGTTCCTCCATGGGATGTTGGCAACCTTGTGTAAATCTGTATAGGAGGTGTGGTGAGGACCAGACTGAAATTTTTGCAGAATATCTTGTCTTCTTCCCAGACCATGGGCTTGGTCATGGCTGCTTATGGTTGGTGCAGTTTCTCAGTTGTGTTCCTGGTAGCCAGGATGCTGAGTTCTGTCTTGATTTCTGATGGGGTGCGACTTCCACCTTCTTTCTTTGGGCCCATCTGGGGATGTTGTGTGGAAGGGTACCCTCCCCCTGCTGCCTCTGTGTCCTTGTGCCACTGCACAGGATCTGGGAATTGATCCCTTTGGGTATTCCACTGTGTACCAGTGAACTGATTCATTGGGAGGAGGACTGTTCGGTAGCTGCTGAATCCATCCCATCAAGCTTTGCCTTGTTGTATATCACAAATCCCTGGCTCCCATCCCAAGACTCAAGTCTTTGCTTGCTCCAGGGCACCTACTTCAGATGTCACCAGCACCATTACAACGACGAATTCTGCAGCCTTGCCTTTCTATAATGTCCCCGCTTTGCTCTTTAGCCTGGTATCCCAGAGATGCATTTGACATGATGCACAAGTATACTGAGTCATCTGTGAAAGTGGGGTGCCCACCCCAACTCCGGGAGCCACAAGAAGCATAAACTGAGGTAGAACAGCAGTCCAGTCTTCTGGGTCTGAATGAATGAGATCTTTCCAGGGGAGATTCAGAACAGGGGTCAAAGGCAGGGCACATGTGGAGAGGAACCTCCTTTGATTTTGTGTCAAAGATGCAGAGAATGCTGCTTGTCTGTGTGGTACTCCACCACAACCTACTCTATAGTTAACCTCAATTACAAAATACAATTGGCGTTTCTCTTCTACCTGCTGAGGGAGTCCGAGGAAAGGACCCTTGGGCACTCCATCAACTCCATCCAGGAACGCTGCATTGTGTATCAGGATTTTGGGTCTCATTCTAATTTCATGCTTAATCAGCCAGGTTTAATAACCTGGGTTTGATCTGTCTCACTAAGATGGTGGCCATTGTTAATGTGGGAAGACTGGTCATGAGGAAGGTGGCTGATGAAAGTTCCTGGGAGAGTGGCCCTGTGTCTGTGGTTTCCAGATCCTTCACTGTGTTGTGGTTTGCCAGGCCGTGTTGTGGATCCAGGGACAGACCTGACTGGGTGGTGAGGGAATGAAGAAGAGATAAACACCAGAGACACACAGAAAAGCTGGGATCAGATGGACGGGGTTCTCTAGTGGAGAAACCACTCCGCTCCAGAAGCTCAGTATGTTTATGAGATAACTCCACAGAGATGTGGAGTTATTACACATGCATAAACAAGGAGGTGGGGTTGTTGCCTACAGCTGACAAGCAGAGAGGTGAGAGGTTTAGCTAATCTTGGTAGGAACAGTCTCTGTAGGGGAGCAGTCTTCAGGCTGCACATATCCAGGGAGAGAAAGATATGGTGGACATTTTCTGTGTAC